GAGTGTTTTGAAACGTCTCAAAACGCGCTGCTTCCGAGCTCCAGCAAGGTACGGTTTTTGAGTGTTTTGAGACGTCTCAAAACGCGCTGCCTCCGAGCTCCAGCAAGGTACGGTTTTTGAGTGTTTTGAGACGTCTCAAAACGCACTGCTTCCGAGCTCCAGCAAGGTACGGTTTTTGAGTGTTTTGAGGCGTCTCAAAACGCGCTGCTTCCGAGCTCCAGCAAGGTACGGTTTTTGAGTGTTTTGAGACGTCTCAAAACGCGCTGCTTCCGAGCTCCAGCAAGGTACGGTTTTTGAGTGTTTTGAGACGTCTCAAAACGCGCTGCTTCCGAGCTCCAGCAAGGTACGGTTTTTGAGTGTTTTGAGACGTCTCAAAACGCGCTGCTTCCGAGCTCCAGCAAGGTACGGTTTTTGAGTGTTTTGAGACGTCTCAAAACGCGCTGCTTCCGAGCTCCAGCAAGGTACGGTTTTTGAGTGTTTTGAGACGTCTCAAAACGCGCTGCTTCCGAGCTCCAGCAAGGTACGGTTTTTGAGTGTTTTGAGACGTCTCAAAACGCGCTGCTTCCGAGCTCCAGCAAGGTACGGTTTTTGAGTGTTTTGAGACGTCTCAAAACGCGCTGCTTCCGAGCTCCAGCAAGGTACGGTTTTTGAGTGTTTTGAGACGTCTCAAAACGCGCTGCTTCCGAGCTCCAGCAAGGTACGGTTTTTGATTGTTTTGAGACGTCTCAAAACGCGCTGCTTCCGAGCTCCAGCAAGGTACGGTTTTTGAGTGTTTTGAGACGTCTCAAAACGCGCTGCTTCCGAGCTCCAGCAAGGTACGGTTTTTGAGTGTTGAGACGTCTCAAAACGCGCTGCTTCCGAGCTCCAGCAAGGTACGGTTTTTGAGTGTTTTGAGACGTCTCAAAACGCGCTGCTTCCGAGCTCCAGCAAGGTACGGTTTTTGAGTGTTTTGAGACGTCTCAAAACGCGCTGCTTCCGAGCTCCAGCAAGGTACGGTTTTTGAGTGTTTTGAGACGTCTCAAAACGCGCTGCTTCCGAGCTCCAGCAAGGTACGGTTTTTGAGTGTTTTGAGACGTCTCAAAACGCGCTGCTTCCGAGCTCCAGCAAGGTACGGTTTTTGAGTGTTTTGAGACGTCTCAAAACGCGCTGCCTCCGAGCTCCAGCAAGGTACGGTTTTTGAGTGTTTTGAGACGTCTCAAAACGCACTGCTTCTGAGCTCCAGCAAGGTACGGTTTTTGAGTGTTTTGAGGCGTCTCAAAACGCGCTGCTTCCGAGCTCCAGCAAGGTACGGTTTTTGAGTGTTTTGAGACGTCTCAAAACGCGCTGCTTCCGAGCTCCAGCAAGGTACGGTTTTTGAGTGTTTTGAGACGTCTCAAAACGCGCTGCTTCCGAGCTCCAGCAAGGTACGGTTTTTGAGTGTTTTGAGACGTCTCAAAACGCGCTGCTTCCGAGCTCCAGCAAGGTACGGTTTTTGAGTGTTTTGAGACGTCTCAAAACGCGCTGCTTCCGAGCTCCAGCAAGGTACGGTTTTTGAGTGTTTTGAGACGTCTCAAAACGCGCTGCTTCCGAGCTCCAGCAAGGTACGGTTTTTGAGTGTTTTGAGACGTCTCAAAACGCGCTGCTTCCGAGCTCCAGCAAGGTACGGTTTTTGAGTGTTTTGAGACGTCTCAAAACGCGCTGCTTCCGAGCTCCAGCAAGGTACGGTTTTTGAGTGTTTTGAGACGTCTCAAAACGCGCTGCTTCCGAGCTCCAGCAAGGTACGGTTTTTGAGTGTTTTGAGACGTCTCAAAACGCGCTGCCTCCGAGCTCCAGCAAGGTACGGTTTTTGAGTGTTTTGAGACGTCTCAAAACGCACTGCTTCCGAGCTCCAGCAAGGTACGGTTTTTGAGTGTTTTGAGGCGTCTCAAAACGTGCTGCTTCCGAGCTCCAGCAAGGTACGGTTTTTGAGTGTTTTGAGACGTCTCAAAACGCGCTGCTTCCGAGCTCCAGCAAGGTACGGTTTTTGAGTGTTTTGAGACGTCTCAAAACGCGCTGCTTCCGAGCTCCAGCAAGGTACGGTTTTTGAGTGTTTTGAGACGTCTCAAAACGCGCTGCTTCCGAGCTCCAGCAAGGTACGGTTTTTGAGTGTTTTGAGACGTCTCAAAACGCGCTGCTTCCGAGCTCCAGCAAGGTACGGTTTTTGAGTGTTTTGAGACGTCTCAAAACGCGCTGCTTCCGAGCTCCAGCAAGGTACGGTTTTTGAGTGTTTTGAGACGTCTCAAAACGCGCTGCTTCCGAGCTCCAGCAAGGTACGGTTTTTGAGTGTTTTGAGACGTCTCAAAACGCGCTGCTTCCGAGCTCCAGCAAGGTACGGTTTTTGAGTGTTTTGAGACGTCTCAAAACGCGCTGCTTCCGAGCTCCAGCAAGGTACGGTTTTTGAGTGTTTTGAGACGTCTCAAAACGCGCTGCTTCCGAGCTCCAGCAAGGTACGGTTTTTGAGTGTTTTGAGACGTCTCAAAACGCGCTGCTTCCGAGCTCCAGCAAGGTACGGTTTTTGAGTGTTTTGAGACGTCTCAAAACGCGCTGCTTCCGAGCTCCAGCAAGGTACGGTTTTTGAGTGTTTTGAGACGTCTCAAAACGCGCTGCTTCCGAGCTCCAGCAAGGTACGGTTTTTGAGTGTTTTGAGACGTCTCAAAACGTGCTGCTTCTGAGCTCCAGCAAGGTACGGTTTTTGAGTACGCGCTGCTTCCGAGCTCCAGCGAGGTACGGTTTTTGAGTGTTTTGAAACGTCTCAAAACGCGCTGCTTCCGAGCTCCAGCAAGGTACGGTTTTTGAGTGTTTTGAGACGTCTCAAAACGCGCTGCCTCCGAGCTCCAGCAAGGTACGGTTTTTGAGTGTTTTGAGACGTCTCAAAACGCACTGCTTCCGAGCTCCAGCAAGGTACGGTTTTTGAGTGTTTTGAGGCGTCTCAAAACGCGCTGCTTCCGAGCTCCAGCAAGGTACGGTTTTTGAGTGTTTTGAGACGTCTCAAAACGCGCTGCTTCCGAGCTCCAGCAAGGTACGGTTTTTGAGTGTTTTGAGACGTCTCAAAACGCGCTGCTTCCGAGCTCCAGCAAGGTACGGTTTTTGAGTGTTTTGAGACGTCTCAAAACGCGCTGCTTCCGAGCTCCAGCAAGGTACGGTTTTTGAGTGTTTTGAGACGTCTCAAAACGCGCTGCTTCCGAGCTCCAGCAAGGTACGGTTTTTGAGTGTTTTGAGACGTCTCAAAACGCGCTGCTTCCGAGCTCCAGCAAGGTACGGTTTTTGAGTGTTTTGAGACGTCTCAAAACGCGCTGCTTCCGAGCTCCAGCAAGGTACGGTTTTTGAGTGTTTTGAGACGTCTCAAAACGCGCTGCTTCCGAGCTCCAGCAAGGTACGGTTTTTGAGTGTTTTGAGACGTCTCAAAACGCGCTGCTTCCGAGCTCCAGCAAGGTACGGTTTTTGATTGTTTTGAGACGTCTCAAAACGCGCTGCTTCCGAGCTCCAGCAAGGTACGGTTTTTGAGTGTTTTGAGACGTCTCAAAACGCGCTGCTTCCGAGCTCCAGCAAGGTACGGTTTTTGAGTGTTGAGACGTCTCAAAACGCGCTGCTTCCGAGCTCCAGCAAGGTACGGTTTTTGAGTGTTTTGAGACGTCTCAAAACGCGCTGCTTCCGAGCTCCAGCAAGGTACGGTTTTTGAGTGTTTTGAGACGTCTCAAAACGCGCTGCTTCCGAGCTCCAGCAAGGTACGGTTTTTGAGTGTTTTGAGACGTCTCAAAACGCGCTGCTTCCGAGCTCCAGCAAGGTACGGTTTTTGAGTGTTTTGAGACGTCTCAAAACGCGCTGCTTCCGAGCTCCAGCAAGGTACGGTTTTTGAGTGTTTTGAGACGTCTCAAAACGCGCTGCCTCCGAGCTCCAGCAAGGTACGGTTTTTGAGTGTTTTGAGACGTCTCAAAACGCACTGCTTCCGAGCTCCAGCAAGGTACGGTTTTTGAGTGTTTTGAGGCGTCTCAAAACGCGCTGCTTCCGAGCTCCAGCAAGGTACGGTTTTTGAGTGTTTTGAGACGTCTCAAAACGCGCTGCTTCCGAGCTCCAGCAAGGTACGGTTTTTGAGTGTTTTGAGACGTCTCAAAACGCGCTGCTTCCGAGCTCCAGCAAGGTACGGTTTTTGAGTGTTTTGAGACGTCTCAAAACGCGCTGCTTCCGAGCTCCAGCAAGGTACGGTTTTTGAGTGTTTTGAGACGTCTCAAAACGCGCTGCTTCCGAGCTCCAGCAAGGTACGGTTTTTGAGTGTTTTGAGACGTCTCAAAACGCGCTGCTTCCGAGCTCCAGCAAGGTACGGTTTTTGAGTGTTTTGAGACGTCTCAAAACGCTCTGCTTCCGAGCTCCAGCAAGGTACGGTTTTTGAGTGTTTTGAGACGTCTCAAAACGCGCTGCTTCCGAGCTCCAGCAAGGTACGGTTTTTGAGTGTTTTGAGACGTCTCAAAACGCGCTGCTTCCGAGCTCCAGCAAGGTACGGTTTTTGAGTGTTTTGAGACGTCTCAAAACGCGCTGCTTCCGAGCTCCAGCAAGGTACGGTTTTTGAGTGTTTTGAGACGTCTCAAAACGCGCTGCTTCCGAGCTCCAGCAAGGTACGGTTTTTGAGTGTTTTGAGACGTCTCAAAACGCGCTGCTTCCGAGCTCCAGCAAGGTACGGTTTTTGAGTGTTTTGAGACGTCTCAAAACGCGCTGCTTCCGAGCTCCAGCAAGGTACGGTTTTTGAGTGTTTTGAGACGTCTCAAAACGCGCTGCTTCCGAGCTCCAGCAAGGTACGGTTTTTGAGTGTTTTGAGACGTCTCAAAACGCGCTGCTTCCCAGCTCCAGCAAGGTACGGTTTTTGAGGCGCCTTTAACGGGCTTGCTGGATGGGAGAGGCGGAGAGGCGGAGCAGCGGCGCAGAGAGTGCATTAACCAGCACCTCGCAACGCTGCGCGCGCTGCTTCCCAGCTCTAGCAAGGTGCGGGATTACTTGCATTGGGAGGACGGGTGAGTGGTAGGCGGAGAGACGGAGAGGCAGAGAGGCGGAGGGGCGGAGAGGTGGAGGGGGGGGAGGCGGAGGGGGGGAGAGGCGGATGGGGGGAGAGGCGGAGGGGGGGAGAGGCGGAGAAGGGGAAGAGGCGGATGGGGTGAGAGGCAGAGGGGGGGGGGAGGCGGAGGGGGGGAAGAGGCGGAGGGGGGGAAGAGGCGGAGGAGGGGAGAGGTGGATTCCCTACTCTCATATCTCAAACTCCTCATCCCCTCCCCCCTCCTTTCCTCCGTTCCTACCCTTCCCCCTCATTCCCCCTGTTCCCTACCTTCATTTCTCAACCCCCCCATCCTCCCCCGTTCCTCCCCCTGCTCCTCCCTTATCCAGACGGTCAAAATATCGCTGTTTTTCGTATGTTTTTTGAGAATTCTCAAAAAACATATGTTAGGCGAGGCGGTAGACGTGCTGCGGGCGCTGCACGCGGGGAGGGAGATGGAGGCGGACAGGTGTGTGAAGAACGCTTATCCTCATCCCCCCTGTTCTACCCGCACCCCCCAACTCCCCCCCTCCCTTCCCCCGTTCGTCCCCCTAACCCCCCAACTCCCCCCCTCCCTTCCCCCGTTCGTCCCCCTAACCAGACGGACAAGGCAACGCTGCTGGCCGAGGTGGTAGACATGCTGCGTGCGCTGCACGCGGAGAGGCAGAGACGTGTGCAGGGCGATTTATCCTCCTTTCCCCTGTTCCCTACCCTCATTCCTCCTTACCCTGCTACTCCCCCCTCTGCCAGACGGACAAAGCAACACTGCTAGGCGAGGTGGTGGACGTGTTGCGAGCGCTGCACGCGGAGAGGCATGAAAGGCAGTGTTCCCACAACCGCCCATGCCCTACCCCTGCGCCCCCTTCCCCCCCCGCTCCTCCCCCTGCTCCTCTCCCCTTCCAGACGGACAAAGCAACACTGCAAGGAGAGGTGGTGGACGTGTTGCGAGCGCTGCACGCGGAGAGACGTGTTTCCCACCACCTACCATCCCTCCACCCCCCTTCTCCCTGCTCCCCCCTACCCAGACTGACAAAGCAACACTCCTAGGCGAGGTGGTGGACGTGCTACGAGCGCTGCACGCGGAGGGGGAGGCGACAGAGAGGGAGAGGCGATTGATGGGCACTTTAACTCATCCCCCCTGTTTCGCCTGCCCTCCGGCCCCTCTTTCTGGGCCCTCCCCTTTTTCTCCCATTCAGACCGACAAGGCAACCTTGCTGGGAGAGGTGGTGGACGTGTTACGAGCGCTGCATGCAGAGAGTCACGCAGAGGGGGAGGCAGAAGGGGAAGGGGAGGGGGGAGCAGGGGGGGGGATGCGGGGGAAGGGGTTCGGAGCGGTACCGAGTGATGTGGATGTTTTAGAGGTGGAGGAGGTGGTGGTAGGTACGGCGGGGGAGGAGGGGGTGAGGGAGGGCGGTGGGGCGGAACGGGGGGAAGGGGAAGAAGGGGGAGGAAGGGAGGAAGGGGCGGAAAGTGGGGAAGGCCGTGGGGAAGGGAGTGGCGGAGGGAGGAGAAACGGTGGGGGGAAGAGGGGGGGAAGCTGTGTGGGTGGGGAGGAGGGCGGAGGGGGGAAGAGGAGGAAGGGGGAGTGCGGGGAGGAGTGGGGTGGCGGAGGGGGAGGAGAGGGGGAAGGGAGGAGGGGAGGAGGCGAGAGGAGAGGGGTGGAGAGGGAAGAGGGAGAAAGGGGAGGGGGAGAGGAGCTGATTCGGTTTGTGGTATCATGTGAGGATCATCTGGACTTACTGGCTTCACTCAAGAAAGCGATTGATGTGAGTGTGACTGTGTGGAGGGTGAGTGTGGATGGTGACAGTTGCTCGGCTCATGATGACCGGAAGGGGAGGGGGAGAGGAGCTGATTCGGTTTGTGGCATCATGTGAGGATCATCCGGACCTGCTGGCTTCACTCAAGAAGGCAATAGATGTGAGTGTGACTGTGTGGAGGGTAAGTGTTTGTGACTATGGTGACGGTTGTCCAACTGCCTATAATTGGTTTGTGGTATCATGTGAGGATCATCCAGACCTGCTGGCTTCCCTCAAGAAAGCAATAGATGTGAGTGTGACTTTGACCGGTGGTGGTAGTGGGTCTGCTTATAATTAATGAAGTGAGGAGAGGGGTTCAGCTGGTCTGTGGTATCATGTGAGGATCATCCAGACCTGCTGGCTTCACTCAAGAAAGCGATTGATGTGAGTGTGACTATGTGGAGGGTGACAAGGCCGCATGAGACTATGACAAGGGAGTGTAATTATGCCGAAAGCGTGTGTGATCACTACGAGGATGTGTGATTACGGTGAAACTTTGTGTGATTATGATGAGGGTGAGTGTGATTATGACAAGAATTGGAAACAGCTTTCCGTGTCCACTCACCTCCCAGCTGTTCCCACTCAATCCGCACACGCACCCTTTTTTATCTGCTCCTCCCCATATCAGTGCCCGTCCCTGCCACAGGCGCTTCGCCTGTGCGTTGGAAACGGCCGTCTACATGCTTCTCTCACCACACACCACCACATGCTTCTCTCACCACACACCACCACATGCTTCTCTCACCACACACCACCACATGCTTCTCTCACCACACACCACCACATGCTTCTCTCACCACACACCACCACATGCTTCTCTCACCACACACCACCACATGCTTCTCTCACCACACACCACCACATGCTTCTCTCACCACACACCACCACATGCTTCTCTCACCACACACCACCACATTCTTCTCTCACCACACACCACCACATGCTTCTCTCCGAAGATCCTCCTCAACACCAACCAGATGCATGTGCATGTGCATGTGCATGTGCATGTGCGAGCGTTGGAAACTGCCTTCTACAGCAATCGAGTCACCCACCTGCGCGTCCTGTCCGGAGGTTGTCTAAAGAGAAGCATCTGGTGGGTGACTCGGTGCTTCGTCTGCATGTCCGGGCGCTTGAATTGAAACGGCCTCCCCTCCCCGTCACAGGTGCTTCGTCTGCATGTCCGGGCGCTTGAATTGAAACGGCCTCCCCTCCCCGTCACAGGTGCTTCGTCTGCATGTCCGGGCGCTTGAATTGAAACGGCCTCCCCTCCCCGTCACAGGTGCTTCGTCTGCATGTCCGGGCGCTTGAATTGAAACGGCCTCCCGTCCCCGTCACAGGTGCTTCGTCTGCATGTCCGGGCGCTTGAATTGAAACGGCCGTCTACAGCAACCGAGCCACCCACCTGATGCTCCTCCCTCGAGACCCTCCTCCTGAAACCGACGTTCCTATACCCCCTTCCCTACCCTTCCCTCCCCTTCCTCCCTGTGTCTGTCATGCCAGGTCCTTCGTCTGCATGTTCGGGCACTGGAAACAGCTTCTTGCAGCAACCGAGTAACTCACCAGATGCTTCTCTCCAGAGACCCTCCTCCTGAAACCGATGAGCTGCTGCACTCCTCCCGTCCCTCCTCTCTCTCTCCTCTCCCCTCCTCCTCTTCCCATTCCGCCCCTGCTGGTGGTAGCAGCCCGCTCAATTCGGGGGGGTTGGGAGCGGTGGAGAAGGGTGGCAGCAGCGGTAGCAGGGAGAGGGAGAGGGAGAGGGAGAAGGGTGGGGCAGATTGGAGGAAGAAGGGCAGGAAGGAGCCTACGGTGGAAGTTATTCGGGCAGCTTTGCGGGCAGCTGTGGAGAGGGCGCGGGCAGCAGCGGCTGTGACTGGTGCTGTGGCTGGTGGTTTGCCTGGTGCGGATGGTGCTGGGGAAGGTTCAACTGAGGCTACACTCCCTCCTGATCCAACCCCTGCTGCTAATGCTGCTGAAGCTGTGGCTACCACTGCTGCTGATGCAGCTGCTGCTGCTGGCTCTGGTGATGGTCTTGGTGGTGCCAATGGCAATGCTACTGCTGCCGTTGCTTCTGCTGCCACCGCCGCCGCTCGTGCTGCTGCTGCTGCTGCTGCTGCTCCTGGTGCTGGTGGTGATATGGTTAGAGGCGGTGATGATGGTACGGGCAGTGGTGAGGACGGTGGGATTCGCATGTGGGGGGAGGGAGGGGAAGGAGGACTGGAAAGACAGGAATTGTGTGAGCAGGGGAGACAGCAGAATCAGCAGGAGCAGCAGCACCTAACGCAGCAGCAGGAGCAACATCATCGCTTGCAGCAGCAGCAGCAGCAGCAGCAGCAGCAGCAGCAGCAGCAGCAGCAGCAGCAGCAGCAGCAGCAGCAGCAGCAGCAGCAGCAGCAGCAGCAGCAGCAGCAGCAGCAGCAGCAGCAGCAGCAGCAGCAGCAGCAGCAGCAGCAGCAGCAGCAGCAGCAGCAGCAGCAGCAGCAGCAGCAGCAGCAGCAGCAGCAGCAGCAGCAGCAGCAGCAGCAGCAGCAGCAGCAGCAGCAGCAGCAGCAGCAGCAGCAGCAGCAGCAGCAGCAGCAGCAGCAGCAGCAGCAGCAGCAGCAGCAGCAGCAGCAGCAGCAGCAGCAGCAGCAGCAGCAGCAGCAGCAGCAGCAGCAGCAGCAGCAGCAGCAGCAGCAGCAGCAGCAGCAGCAGCAGCAGCAGCAGCAGCAGCAGCAGCAGCAGCAGCAGCAGCAGCAGCAGCAGCAGCAGCAGCAGCAGCAGCAGCAGCAGCAGCAGCAGCAGCAGCAGCAGCAGCAGCAGCAGCAGCAGCAGCAGCAGCAGCAGCAGCAGCAGCAGCAGCAGCAGCAGCAGCAGCAGCAGCAGCAGCAGCAGCAGCAGCAGCAGCAGCAGCAGCAGCAGCAGCAGCAGCAGCAGCAGCAGCAGCAGCAGCAGCAGCAGCAGCAGCAGCAGCAGCAGCAGCAGCAGCAGCAGCAGCAGCAGCAGCAGCAGCAGCAGCAGCAGCAGCAGCAGCAGCAGCAGCAGCAGCAGCAGCAGCAGCAGCAGCAGCAGCAGCAGCAGCAGCAGCAGCAGCAGCAGCAGCAGCAGCAGCAGCAGCAGCAGCAGCAGCAGCAGCAGCAGCAGCAGCAGCAGCAGCAGCAGCAGCAGCAGCAGCAGCAGCAGCAGCAGCAGCAGCAGCAGCAGCAGCAGCAGCAGCAGCAGCAGCAGCAGCAGCAGCAGCAGCAGCAGCAGCAGCAGCAGCAGCAGCAGCAGCAGCAGCAGCAGCAGCAGCAGCAGCAGCAGCAGCAGCAGCAGCAGCAGCAGCAGCAGCAGCAGCAGCAGCAGCAGCAGCAGCAGCAGCAGCAGCAGCAGCAGCAGCAGCAGCAGCAGCAGCAGCAGCAGCAGCAGCAGCAGCAGCAGCAGCAGCAGCAGCAGCAGCAGCAGCAGCAGCAGCAGCAGCAGCAGCAGCAGCAGCAGCAGCAGCAGCAGCAGCAGCAGCAGCAGCAGCAGCAGCAGCAGCAGCAGCAGCAGCAGCAGCAGCAGCAGCAGCAGCAGCAGCAGCAGCAGCAGCAGCAGCAGCAGCAGCAGCAGCAGCAGCAGCAGCAGCAGCAGCAGCAGCAGCAGCAGCAGCAGCAGCAGCAGCAGCAGCAGCAGCAGCAGCAGCAGCAGCAGCAGCAGCAGCAGCAGCAGCAGCAGCAGCAGCAGCAGCAGCAGCAGCAGCAGCAGCAGCAGCAGCAGCAGCAGCAGCAGCAGCAGCAGCAGCAGCAGCAGCAGTTGGGGGAAGAGGAGCAGACAGAGACTCGTGTGAATTCGTTGATTCGGCTGCAGCAGCTGCAGATGCAGCAGCGGTTTCGACAGCACCAGCAGATGCTTCTGCGGCAGAAGCAGCAGCAGCAGCAGCAACAACAGCAACAACAGCAGCAGCAACAGCAGCAACAGCAGCAACAGCAGCAGCAGCAGCAGCAGCAGCAACAGTCTTTGGACTCTCTTTCGAAATCCTTTTGAGCTGACCTCGAACCTGTCGAGTGGTGTCATTCTCACACTTCATGACGACGTATCACCATTCATCACTGCTCTGCACACATGTGCACACACCCTGGCATGCGCGTCATCATCCCCTGGCTGGTGTCACTGAATCCCATGATCTGTCAGAATCGCATAGCAGCATTGTTAGTACCGTACTTACTGTTATTTCTGTCGCAGTAATTTGTCTGTCCTTGGCACAGGCTGTGGTTCGGATCGGAACCCGTGAGACAGGAGGACACACACAGGACATGCATTTGTATAAATCGGGTGTGCAATTCACTGTGTTTTGGTTGGGTTCCTGAGCAGAGCTATCTTTCTCTCAACGGGGTGCGTGTCAATTTGACTGGGGTGCAAGTTTCCTGTCTAAAGCTGGTACCGTCATACCCCGGATATACCCCCATGGGGGGCAATAATAAAACAGGTTTTTTTTGGGGGGGTGGGCTTATAATCGAGTAAATTTATAAGCGCCGGCGTTTATAAAATGACATATATTTTTTATGTTTTTTTAACACCAAATTGTAGATCTCGTGCTTGCCTTTTCAATCGAGTCGAAGTTACATGGGGTCGTCTGTGAAATTCTCGCGCGCGCTGGGATGCGAGTGAATCTGACTCACATCCAGCTCCTGACAGCTCCTGCTGACTGGACCCGCATCCAGTGCAGGGTCCGAATGTGAAGGGAACCGAATCTGCAACACATCCGCCTGCTAAAGTAAAAATCGTTACAGCGTTTTGAACACATTTCAAAATTTAAAGTTTACGTGCGCTTATAATAAAACAAGTTTTTTTAGGGGGTGCGATTATAATCGAGCAGCGGATATAAGCGCCACACGCCAATTAAAAGCGCCAGGCGCTTATCCGAGGGTGGCGCTTATATCCGGGGTATGACGGTATGCCAATATTGATGCTTTTAATTCAACAGTTTTTGCTACCGCAGTTTCTCCACGGCCGCGAATTTGGTCGAAAAGGCAGCCTAACAGCGACTCTCATTCTTGCGTACTGTAGCCTGCATGGAAGAATGGAAGCTCATTTATCTTTTGAAAAACAGTGGCCAGACAAAAGGGTGTTAGAAGAACTAGGCAAGAATGGTGCATTGAATGAAACAGTTGGGTACAAGTAGCAAACCCTAGTTGGGGTTGTACCCCATATTGGCTACCCCACTACAGCCTACCAACATATAACACATTACAATTTAACACACCCCCATAGGCAAAGTGGGGGAGAACAAAGGGTCACAAGACCAGTCCAGCAAGGCAACGCAAGCCCAGGGTGGATCACAACGTCACCACACTCCGAGCACAAGCAAAGGCCACAAGGCCAGTTCACATGCAGTGCTAGATATAGTACAAGACAAACAACACAGTGATCAAAACCTAGCAAGCAAGCAACAAGATATATATAAAGTACAGTACAAAGAAAGTCAAGCAGTAAGCAAATGAGGGAATGTGGACACAAGGCCTAAAGAAGTACAGTGTCGCTGATGATCACTAGGCGGGAGTGCCTTGGTGAAGATATTAGCAGTCTTGGCCTTCGAGTCCACCTACACAAGCCGAAGCTGACCGCGCTGCTGAAGCTCTCGAGCAAGAAAGTAGCGAAGAGCAATGTGCTTCGTCCTGTGCTCCAGTCTGTGCTCCTGACACAAGGCAAGAGCTGCCTTGTTGTCACCGTACAGAACTGGAGGAGAACTAGGCCGCTCTCCCAAGTCAGTCAGCAGATAGGTGAGCCAGCGTAACTCCTGTGCAGCCATGGCTGTGGCGTAGATCTCAGCCTCACAACTAGAGCCGAGAACAGAAGAAGAGCGGGTGGACCGCCACGAGACAGAACCAGAGCCAAGGCTGAAGGTGTAACCCTGTGACGACCGCTGCGTAGCCAGGTCGTCCACCCAAGAAGCGTCCGAGTGACCAGTGAGGACAACTCTGTCGCGTCCTCCAAGCACCAACCCCATGCCTGATGTACTGCACAAGTAACGCAGCACCCTCTTAGCAGCCTCCCAGTGCTCTCGCCTGTGTCTCCCAGGCGCAACGTAGCGAGCAAGGATGCTAAGTGGGTACGCGAGGTCAGGTCGCGTGCAAGTCATCAGGTACATGAGGCAGCCTACAAGCTCTGGGTACGGGCCACTCGGCTCTACGGACTCGTCCGGAGGTGGAGCTGAGAGCGAGTGGCTGGTAGCCAGAGGTGTGGCCTGTGGTGAGGAGAACTGGAAGCCGAAGCGCTGAAGGACCTGCTGCACCATGTGTGACTGAGTCAGGGTGATGGTGCGGCGAGCTCTGTCCCGGGTGATCTGCAAGCCAAGGTAGATGCGCAGTTCACCCAGGTCAGTGCAGGTGTGTCTCTTCTGCAGCTCCGACTTCACACGAGCGAGTGCCTCAGTGTCAGCAGTAGCAAAGACCAAGTCGTCGACGTACACGAGAATGTAGAACGGCGGCAGCGACGTGTCTGTGCGCAGAAACAGCGACGGGTCAGCAGTAGACGGCGCGAACCCAAGAGCCGCAAGTGTAGTCCTCAGTGTGTCGTGCCACTCACGTGGCGCCTGGCGGAGACCGTAGACTGGCCGGCGGAGGCTCCACTGGGTACCAGGAGGAAACGACCCAGTAAAGCCAGGTGGACGGCGCAGCCAGATCTCCTCGTGCAGGCTGCCCTGCAGGAACGCTGTGCTGAAGTCAAGAGAGTGAAGCTCGTAGTCACGCTGAGCAGCAACGTGCAACAGAACCCGAAGAGTGGTCATCTTCGGGGTGGGGGAGAAGGTCTGAAAGAAGTCGACCCCCTGACGCTGACTGAAGCCTCTAGCAACGTAACGAGCCTTGAAGACAGGCGGAGAACCTGGCGGCCGCTTCACCCTGAAAATCCACATGCCATCGACGATGTTCGCCCCAGGAGGGGGAACCTCGTCGACGTAGGTGCCTGTGGACTTCCAGGATGCCATCTCTGCGTCCATGGCTATCTGCCACTGAGAGGAGTAGGGACCCGAGATCGCCTCTGCGTAAGTGCGCGGAGTAGGGATGTCTAGTGCATCCGGGTCTCCCTTAGGGGCAAGCAACCAGGCCACGAGATGAGGTACAGCAGCCGCGAGAGAGTCAAAGTCCTCCTGCCTGTCCTCAAGGACGTCCGTGCCAAGAGCACACTCACCCCCGACGGACGGAGGACAGACAGACGCAGACTCTGACTCAGCAACAAGGCTAGCAGCGTAGTCGAGACGACAGGCAGCAGCAAAGTCAACCAACTCAGCGACCAGAGCAGACGCAGCCGAGGACTCAAAGGTAGGGTCAGTGACAACAGTAGCTAGGAGACGCGTGACAGTAGGGTGCTCAGCACGATACCGGTCAGACTCAGGGTCCGGAACGGCAGGCAAAGAGGACGCAGGAGGAGACGGTAGAGGGACACGCTGAGGAGCAGTAGATGGACGCAGAGTCATGTAGTGAGTGCCTGGGACAGGAGGAGGACGCTCACGACGGACACGACGACCAGTACGAGCAGTACGAACAGGCGACGCAGGACGGGACTCAGGCTCACGACGCTCGGTAAGACCTCCTGTGGGACCAGTGTAAGGAGAGGGAGCAGGGAGAGGCGAGGCAGGCGGTAACTGGGACTGCGGCTGGACAGGCGGAGGACACTCTACGGAGGGAGGAGGACAAGGAGGAGGAGCCTGCCCAAGAACCTGCTGAAGGAGCGGTACGAAGTACGGTCGCGGCCGCGCAGCGTCTCCAGAAGCAGAAGAGACTCCAGCGGCCGGGTCCTCAGTACCAGCAGGAGCTCCAACGTCCGGGTCCCCAGCACCAGCAGCAGCGCCACCGCTCGGGTCCTCAGCTCCAGCAGCAGCTCCACCAGGTGGGTCCGCAGCACCAGCAGCAGCGCCACCCCCAGGGTCCGCAGCACCGCTAGGAAGAGCACCCCCAGAGTCGGCAGCTCCAACTTTGCTAGCACCGCCAGCTCCAGAGTCCCCAGCTCCAGCAGCTCCAGTCGTAGTGCTCCCAGAACAACCAGTCCCGGCAGCTCCAGTACCCCCAGTACGAGCACCCCCAGGACGAGCAGCTCCAGCACCCCCAACTCCAGCCGAGCCACTAGGACGGCGAAAGCGCCGGACGTACCAGTCACGAAGCTGCTGCGGTGTGAGAGACTGCTCAGCACCCCGAACCGGAGCACCCCCAGACGCAGCAACCCGAGGCTCCGTAGGCTCAGTAGCAGCACCCCCAGGCTCAGTACCCGCAGGCGCAGCACCCCCAGACTCAGCACCCCCAGACTCCGCACACGCAGGCTCAGCACCCCCAGTCGCAGCACCCCCAGGCTCAGCACCCCCAGGCGCCGAACTCTCAGGCACAGTACCCTCAGCTCCAGCACCCGCAGTCCCAGCACCCCCAAGCCCAGCACCCCCAGGCTCAGCACCCCCAGGCTCAGCACTCCCAGCAGCACCACCCGCAGCAGCACCTGAGTCACCTGTGACCTCGACAGGCTCAGCGACGGGAGGAGGGTCTACCTGAGAGACACCTGAAGGAGCAGGACCCTGAGGGGGAAGGGGGTCTACCGGAGGGGGACCAGGAGCAAGGAAAAGCGGCGGGGGAGGGAGGGGGGCAGTGCGGTAGGGGAAGAGACGGTAAAAAGGGACCGACTCGTCAAAGGTGACATCCTGAGAGGCGAAGACCCGGCGCGAGGTGGGGTGGTAAAACTGCCAGCCAGGCGCGTCAGGGACAAAGCCAAGGAAGACACAGGGAAGCGTGCGGGAGGAGAGCTTGTCCGCGGACGTATCGCGGACAAGGGCACGAGCACCCCACACCCGGAAGCGCGACGCATCGCCAACCTCCCCCGTCCAACGCAGTGTGGGCGAGGTCTCCGGCAAGGAGACACGGGGCCAGAGGTTGAGCTGATGCGCGGCGTACCGGACAGCAAACGGCCACAGAAAATGGGGAGCCGCCGCGTGGACCAAGGAGGTACGAGCGACCTCCATGACCAGGCCAATGCGGCGCTCAGCAACCCCATTCTGCTGTGGGGAGTC